AGTATCCAATGCTTCTTTTTCACCCCTGTCATAAAGAGTCCCAGGGCAGAAGTTCTTAGCAGCATGTTTCCCTCTTCCCACATCTGCTCAGTTCAACCAGACCTCTGACGTTCATGAATAGGGCCTCAATACTTAAACCTGCTCCGCGTGGGTCAGGAGACAGGAACGCAGTTCTTTCCCTCAATGTCTAGTGCCCGAGTAGGAAGAAGGCCAGACTTGCAGGCTCAGTTTCATACGGAGACTGCCACTCAACACTCTGAGCCCCAGTGCCATGCTCTGAAAAATGAGGATACTAACAGCTGTTTTATAAGTTTGCTGCAAAGATTCAGGCAAGCACCCGTGATTCATTTGCTATTCCGCTGTAGCTGTCTTGAAATTTTTAACACTTTTCAAAGTAGGAGACCTGTATCTTCATTTTGACTGGGCCCTGTAAATTATGTCACTGGCCCTGCCTGTGTGTCCTTGGCCAAGTCACTTAACTTTTCTCGGCTCCAGTCCATAATTAATTAAATTCTTAGGATGATTCTCAATCTTTCTTCTACCTTCTATTAGCACAATTTGATATGGTTGGTCACACCCTCCTTGAAACAGTTTTTCCATTTGACTTCCAGAACACTGCACTTCCCTGGTTATTCTCATCCACACTGGTTGCTCCTTTGCGATTTTCTCCTTAGTCTATCAGCATGTCCCAGACTAAACTCCTGATCACCTCCTGCAAGCCTGTTCCTCCCAGTCTTCCTCATCTGTTAATGGTAACTCCATCCTTCCAGTCGATCAGACCAAAACCCTTGTCTTTGTCTCTTTATCGCTCATTCCATATCCAGTTTGTAAGCTACTCCAGCGTCTGACCACTTCTTCACCACTCCCATTACAGTCCAAGCCTTAGTCGTCTAGATTATGCATGATCCTTATAATTGGTCTCCTTGCTTCCACCTCCTCGCCCTGTCCCCATGGTCTGTTCTTTATACAGTAGACAGAATAATCCTTTAAAAATATGTCAGGGACTTCCCTGGTTAAAACTCCACGCTTCCACTGCAGGGGGCCTGGGTTTCGTCCCTGGTCAGGGAAATAAGATCCCACGTGCCGTGGGGCACAGCCAAAAAAAAAAAAAAAATCAGATGGCATCAGTCCTCTGTTCAGAACCATCCCATGACCATCCATCTCTCAGAGTAGAAATAGGAGCATAAGTTCCCTCTCGGGACCTACCTCCTGCCGCTCCCTCACCTCGGGCCATCCACCAGTGCCTCTGCCGACAGGTCCTCCAAGAGGGCTGCCCAGAGGCCCCTCAGTCTCCTCCAGTTCTGCTCAACTGTCACCTTGTTTAAAATAGCAACTACCAGCAGCTTTCCTCCCTCATTCCTTATCCTACCCTCATTCCTATTCCCTGCTCACTTTTCTCCAAAGCTCTCATCACCATCTGATATTAATACACCTTTTTATTTATATGCATATTGTTGATTTCTTCCCATTAGCATGTAGGCTCTGTAAGGGCAGAGACTTATCTTTTAACTGCTATGTCTTCAGCACATGGGTCAGGGCCAGTGAATGACAGTAGAAAGAGCTCTGGAACAAATGATGATGTTACTATAATTAAGTCACAGCAGCATCAGCCCCTCTGAGTGTGCAAAGTCCTTGGACAGGCTGCACGCCCGTGAGGCTGACAGTGCATACAGGAGTGAGGGCATCTATGGGGACAGCTCTGGGCCAAGCCTCCCACTAGATTATACCTTGGAGACAGAAAGATGAATCGAGAGTGGTCTCCACCCTGAGAGAATTTGTGGCCTAGAGAGAGGTATCTTGTAGATATGCAAATAACTCTAGAAAGAGACAGCCTTTGTTGAAAATATTCGGTCTTTAATGCCTAACATTCTGTGATACATTCTGCTAACTACTCTAGACTTCCCTACAGAGGGAAAGGACAATGCACTATGGCTTGTGAACTTACTATGTGGCTATTTCTGTTCCAGACAAGTTCCTGCTGTGGCCTGCTTATCACACCAGAGACACCTTGCCTGACTTCCAATCTGTTTGCTCCACACTCCCTCCACCAGCTCCCTCCACCCAATATTGCTGCCTAATTTTACTGTTAACTTGAGACCCCACCTTCACATAGTCCCTCCACATTCTGCTTCTAGATATCAGAACATGAGGCAGGCAGGGGTGGAATCAGCCTGGGGAGGCTGGCTGCAGCAGGGTGTAGAGAGTCTAAATGTTATTTCCCTCCAACAAAGATGTGCATATCTCTATGGTCCCACAGTACACAGGACCCAGAGACAAACATCTGTTCATCTCTGCAGCCTGACAGCTTGCTCAGTACATGGCACAGAGGAGACATTCAGTAAGGTTTGCTGAATCACTGAACTGGGCCTTAGAAGCTTTAAGGATAACTGTATTTAAGAAGTAATTTTGCATCTTCTGTAAGGTACCCCAGAAATATTCTAAAAGCTTATTTTATTTCATATCATAAGAAAGAAACTAATCAGTCAGAATTTAAACATCTCAAATAAGGCTACTACTATTTAAAATGCCTGTTTAAATTATAAAACACTCTTATTCTATAATTTTCAAAGTTATTTTAACTTGTATTTGAGTTTTTGAAACCTTGTATCTGAAAATTTAAAAATTACCATGAGATAAATTACAAATCACTCTTTGCATTCCCTTCTTGAAATAGGGACTTCCTGAAGCTATCTGAGTTTTTAGATAGAGATTTACTTATGAGAAAGTCTGCAGAGCCGAGAAACTTAAAGCTAGAGCTTAGAATCTGGTCATTAAACTCCACATTAAGTTTTGGTGGGAAGTCCTGGAGTGCTTGTTATAGAATTCTCAGTGTGTTTAAAAGCTTGCTTCAAGCCTCCAACTAATAAAAATAAAAGGAAAAAAAATTTAGTAAAAAAAAAGAAAAAGCTTGCTTCTCTCATATGTTCACATCACACGTACATTTTCCTACCCACGTGAGATCAAGCATTGTAAGATGACCCACCTTATAATCAGTAAGATGTGCTGACAGCAATAAGTAGGAAAATTTAGGACAGGTGAATCCTTCCCCTCCTAGTTTCTCAGTTTCTCTGTATATAAAATAGGAGGAGGGACTAGATGGTTTAGGAAGGGATGCTAAAGCCTTATGAGTCTATGAATGTGGAGGGCATCTATTCACATGATAAAGGTTTTCTCTTCATAAAGAATTTCCTTCAGATTTTCTCTGAGTTTCTTTAAAACGTTTAAACTGTGACTTGACTTACCGAAACCTTGCCACTATATTTTTATTACTAATAACAGCAGCTAACACTTATTAAAGGGCTTCCCTGATTGCTCAGCAGGTAAAGAATACACCTGCTGTTTAGGAGACACAAGAGACAGGGGTTTGATCCCTAGGTTGGGAAGATACCCTGGAGGAGAAAATGACAACCCACTCCAGTATTCTTGCCTGAAAAGTAAACATTTATTAAGCAGGCTGGATATTCTAGGCACCATGTATTCAATATGCCAGGCACCGATAATATGCTTTATGTACGTTGTTTTTTTGTTTTTGTTTTAAATTTAATGAACACTTCCAGTTTTTATTTTTATTTATTTATTTATTATTTTTGGTTGCCCTGGATCTTCATTGCTGCGTGCAGGCTTTCTCTAGTCGTGGTGAGCAGGAGCTGCTCTTTGTCGGGGTGCCCGAGCGTCTCATTACCGTGGCTTCCCTTCTCGCAGCACAAGCTCTGGGTGTATGGGCTTCAGTAGTTGCGGCTTGAGGGCTCCAGTAGCTGAGGCTGGTGGGCTCTAGAGCGCAGACTTAGTTCTCGCCCGCAGGCTTAGTTGCTCCTTGGTATGTGGAATCCTCCCGGATCAGGGATGGAACCCACGTCCTCTGCACTGGGAGGGGATTCTTATCCGCTGGACCACCAGGGAAGGTCCAGTACATTGTTTGATTCAATCATCCCAATAACCTCATGAGATGTGTACCAATATTGTCCCATATTGTAGGGAGTATACTGGCTCCAAAACTAAGTTGCCTAAGGGAGCTGAATTAGGGAATGTGGCAACACTGGAATTCAAACCCTCTTCAATCCGACATCTGACTCCAGACAGATTGTTAACCCTTCATCTCACAGACTAGGTGCCCGTATCAGGAGGTAGTCAGTGTTCCTTTCCTAGGGGAACAATCCTGGTGCTCTATGACCCTTTGCCTTCACAAATGCGGTGACCAATTGAAGACAGGTGATTCCTTTGGTTTCAACTTAATTTCTATGACATAATGTGCTGATACTTTCATTAAGAAATGCTTTTTGACTTTCCCTGGGTTAATACGGAGGATTTAACTAGTTGTCTTGAGTCACTTGTGAATGATCTGGCGAGCAGAAGAGGGTTCAAATTTGTTTTGAATTGCTATCTTTTTGAATTTATATCTTTTTGTCTATTATCTAACTCTAACAGCAAGACTTCCCGTTATTTTGCACACAATTAAGGTGAAAAAATGCCACATGCAGGAAAACACCACAAGATTAATTTTACATCTTTGTAATTTTCGCATTCATTATATTCACTTTCACAAGAACTATGTGAGGTGGGCAAGTCAGGAATTAATTCATCTGCTTTGCAAATGAAGAAAGAGAATCCCAAAAAGGGGAAGTGATTTGTTCAAGGATATCGAGCTGGGTAGGTGCTAGACTTCATGTCGTTCCCATGCTATGCCACCTCTGTATGTGAAAAGGAACATCAGACTTGAGCACTTCTTGGCGTGCAGAGACAGACGGCTGCCATGCCAGAGGCTGGGGCGTACTAGCCTGCAGCCCTGTGGCTGCCTCTCTAACTAGCCACTGTGCTGGAGGACGAGGACATAGCATCAGCCGTGACCCTGCTCACACCCGTGCAGGATGATAAAGAAAGTAGAAGTAGCCAGCAGCTGTGGTCCAACTAGATAAAACTTTAAGGCGGGAGGTCAAGTGACAAGTGAACTCATCTATGTGTGTGTCTTTTAACTGTTAGTTACTTTTGACATTTTAAAAAAGGCTTCTTGTGGAAGTCAGACCAAAAGCAGGAAGATACTGCAGCAAGATGGATTTGGGAAAGGACCAATCTCTCTCAAAGCTCCATCAGACACCTGATCCTCATCAAGGAGAGACCCAGGTTCCAGGTAATGAAAGAAACCTTAATAGACAGTGGCTGTTGGGAAGGATTGGGCTATGATTATTTTCCTCTTTGTACAGGTTTGGCAAAAAAGGGGCATCATTGGGTGGGTACATTCATGTATTAGAAAGGAAGAAATTAGGGGCTGTATAACTTTCTGAGCTGGCTTCTAGCACTAAGATTCTAGTAAACAGGAGAAACACGAGGAAATAATAAATAAATAATTATATATATATGATAATGAAAATACCCAATAATGGATGGTGTGGTAAAACAAGTACAACCATATGTGTAGCACAAATATAGTGTAACTTTTGGAAAGGTATCTGGCAATAAGTATCAAGAACTATGAGAGTGTTTATTTTGTTGACTGACTAATGTTAGTCTTTGTGTATATCCTAAAGCAGCATTTTGGCTGCTCTTGCAGAACGCTAGGCCTTGAGACAGTGATTTAAAAATTTTTTATGCCATGGATCCCTTTGGCTTTCTGCTGAAACTCTAGACACCTTCTTAGGCTAAATTTTTTAAATACATAAAGTTAAATACATATGATTACAAAGGAAGCAGTTATATTAAGAAAATTATAAAAATAAAAAACTTTGATATAATAATATATGTGCTTATTTACAGGTGCATTAAATAATAAGATCCAGTGGTGGATCTCATTACCACTGTATCAAATCAAATATTTCATCTCAAATAAATGATATTCTAAGGTATCTGTAATAACTGTAATGTGATATGGAAAAAAATCCCTAATTTCTTTTTGTGACAAAGTTATATTCTGCTAAAACCACTGTGGTTTGTTATCTACATTCATAATTGAAGGAAATGGGCATTTAGATTGGTAAAAATAAAGGTGTAATTTCCCCCGATCCAAGTTCATCGTTAAGGACTGCTGATCTGAAATCAAAAGGTGTCACGGTCCATGAGGTGTGGTCGCTTTGGGAGGTCCCAGTGCAAATTTGGAATCATTCCACTGGCTCCAAGAAGTTCGACATCAAAGACCCGTTAACTTTTCACAGTCTTGGATGGCAACAGAACTGTTGTTAATAGTAACTTTAATAGTCCAAAGAAACTTGGAGAAACATCATCCAAAGGAAAAAAATACAAAAGAAAAAAAATCTGTGTGTGTGAAATGCTTATGATAGTTGATCTACAGTGGCAAAAACAAAATAAACAAACTGGCAACAACCTAAATGTTCAGTATAAGAGGAATGAGTGGATAAATGAGAATACATCAACTTGATTAAATATCATGTAGTCACTAAAGTTACAATTATGAGGACTAGATGATGGAATTTACTTCGATGGTTAATAAATGGTAAAACTGTGGTATGCAATCATTGCAACTTTAATATAGGGACTAGATGAATACATGGAAAATCCCTTGGACAGAGGAGCCTGGCGGGCTACAGTCCATGGGGTCGCAAGAGCTGGACATGACTTAGCGACTAAACCACCACCAGATGAATAAAATGAATGAAATGAAAAGCAGGTTATAATGTTAAGGATGGCAGAACGTGGCTGGTTTTTTTCTTTACTTTTATGTTTGTACAATATGCACACTGTTTTGAAGAAATTAGCACATTTATGTACAAATACTGACCTTCTCATTTAAAAAATGTTGACTGAATGCTTGCTCCCAGGCATTCTTCGGGAGGCACAAGGATAAATAAGAGATAGCTCTTGTCCTCAAAAGGGTGGGAGAAAAGCTTAGACACTCAGTAAGGAGATTCTATCATTTTGCTATAGGACTCTTGCTGTTAATGCCATAATTCATCACTATCTCTCACAACTTTCATTTTGATCCTACAGAAGTCATTGGAACTTGGAGCTTGCGAAACAGAGAGCAACTCAGAAAAAGAAAAGCTGAAAAACAAGAAAAGCAAACGTCACAATGGCAAATTCGGTATAGTATCACTGCAAGGGAGAAGGGACTGATATTTACTTAGCACATGTTACTTGTTAAGAGGTGCTGAGAACTTTTATACACTATAGATCATCTTTCCAACAATCCCACAAATCGGGAGCTGTTATCCATATTCATCTTCCACCCCCCCAAAAAGAAAGAAACCAAGTCTCTGAAGGTTAAATCTCTTGCCTAAAGTCACGCAGCTAGTAAAGTGATGGGAACAGAATCTTTTTTCTGTTCTCTTTTACCAGGTGATCAAATTATGTGTATTGTAGAGAGGCCTGCTGTTCTACCACTTTAGTAACATAAGCATTGTTGTTGGGAGTGGGAGATACCATTGAGAAGACCCCCAAGCTTGTTCTCCAAGCTTTCTATTAGTAAAATTCTTCTTTAATGAGTGTAGTTAACTCTCCATGGAGTAAACCAAAGCACTGTCTGTAAGTGAGTGATGGAAGAGTCTGAGCGTTCCTGTGTCCAAAGCCAGCTGTATGGAATCTCGGGGAGGGAAGCCGTGAGCATGACTATACAGCAGGCAGCATCTAAAGGCCCCATGTAGAATAGAACTATGAAGACAGGTATTGCGTGCTTGGAGGTAGAAAAGGGGAACCCAGAGAGCCCCAGTACGACATCCATCTGAGCCAGGGTTTCTCAACGCCGGGGTCACTAATGCTGTGGGCAGGAGAATCACTGGCCTCTAGAAACCCATGGAACTTTCCCTCCTCAGTTACGACAACCTAAAATGCCTCCAGACATTGTTAAATGCCTCATGGGGTGGGGGGAGAGGAGGTAAAATTGCTCCCAGTTGAGTGAGTGCCTTTGATCTAAGTGCTCTTCTTCTTTAAAAACCCAAACTTTATTTTTTGGCTGTGCTGAGTCTGCGTTGCTGCCTGTGGGCTTTCTGTAGTTGCAGGGGCCACTCTTCATTGCGCGGCGCGGGCTTCTCTCTGAGGTGGTTTCTTCTGTCACAGAGCACGGGCTCTGAGTGCACAGGCTTCAGCAGTTTCAGCATATGGGCTCCGTAGTTGTGGCTCATGGGCTTAGTTGCTCGTCTGTATATGGAGTCTTTTCCAACCAAGAATTGAGCCCATGTCCCCTGTACTGGCAGCTGGATTTTTATCCAGTATCACCAGGGAAGCCTCCTTACAAAATTTTGATTAAGATTTAGCTATGTATTTCTTCATTTTTGGAAAAATGTGTCATTCAGTGGCAAAAATAACATAGGTATACATTTTTCTATGCATCATTTTTGAAAAAGCATACAATGCAGGTGTTTTAAGTTCCTATTCTCACTGTGGACAGAATATTGTCTGTTCTGTGACAACATGTGTTTCTATAACGCCAGTTAGCTCACATGTAATTGGTAAATAGGAGAGTGGTGTCAGTTTTAGTGGAAGTTGTGTTAGTTTGTAATTTTTCCTTGTCAAAAGAAGCCAGAATAGTGGGAATAGAATTAAAAACTTCAGCAGGAAAGGAAAAAGCCTTCAGCTTGGCTGCTGTGTAGACAGGATTCTTTTCAGCCTGCATCCGGGCTCCTTCCGCAGGGAAGGACATCACTAGCTCTGCAGAAATCGCCACATGTAGCAGGTTGCACTTCCTCCTGTGCTCAGCGGCAGCCCTGCTGGCTCAGAGCATCATCCTTATTTGCATGATCTCAGCACTGAAAGCCTGCATTCACACTGGTGCTTTTGTGCATTTTTACCATCCCCGAGGCAGCCTCCCCGCAGAAAAAGCTGCCTGTCTGGACTCTCCCAGTTATCTCCCCTGTACCAACTATTGTTTATCCTAGTGTTATAAAGTTGCATAGGATTTGACTCATTTGCCCCATATGGTTTTTTTCCCCATAAGCACTGTCACTTTTAGTGCATGATTTTGCAGAAAGTGAGGTTTTTCAGGAATGGACGTATGTTCTAGCGGAAACGTCTGTATTCAGGTCCTCTGACAGGTGACTCTGTTGAAGAATGCCTGGTTGGCTCCCTGATTCCATACTCACCAAGCAACCTTCTGGTCATTATTGGTTTCTCAAGTACTTGCTACAGAGAAAGTGCATTGTCACTTTGCTTTTCTCACAGTTCATTTAAAAACTGGCCTTTAGGTTTATGTGTCAGTCCCCTTGAGCTGGTTGCTGAGTCCTGACTCGGGAAATGGACGAGGCTGGTTTCAGTATGTTTGTTCTTAGAATTGGGTTTCTGTGCTCGTTGGCTTGGGGGAGGGTCCAAGCCTGAAGAAATCACCAGAGTAGGTGGAACCTTGGTGAGCCTCTTGGCAGCGGGCCGGCCTTGCTGCTGTGACGCATTTCCAGACTGCTGAGGGCTGTACTCACTACAGTGAAACCTCATTTCCAGAGAGAAAGGACAGAGTGTAATGGTTAAGAGCCCGGTGGCTGAAGTCAGATGACTTGATGTGAAGACTAGCTCCCTCACGTCCCAGCCATTTCGCCTTGGGCAAGTTACTCAGAAAACTGTGCTTCAGTTTTCTCATCTGCAAAATGGAGCTTATAATAGTATCTGCCTTGTAAGTTTATGTGAAGATCACATGAGATAACAGAATAAGTAAATTACTTAAAACAGTGCCTGACATGGAAGAAGCACCATATGTATACATATATATATATATATATATATATATATACACACACACATATATGGTATATTCTGTATTAATATGAGTACAGATTTCTATTTGGACAATTCATCCATGTAAGTTATTCCATGCTCTTACAACAACTACATGAGGCTGGGTAGATATTATTTACTCCATTTTACCTGGGAAGAAACTGAGGTTTAGAGAGTTTGACTTGCCCATGATCACATAGCTGATAATTAAGAGTACAGGTTAAATTTTAGACCACACAGATATATTTGTATCTTTTGAGAAACTCCTGGGAAGAACAGGAAACATTGTATTACTCAGACTCCCTCATATAGAGATCTACATAACAAATTATTTAGGATTTGATTTATAGGATAATAAGTGTTTCCTGAAGAGTTCACATACATCAATTTTTTAAAATGTTTTTTTCATTTTTTAAAAAAAAGTTTTAAATTAAAAAAATTTTATACAGCATCTTTTAAAAATTTGATAATAAGGACTTTATAATTTATCTTGTTACCTAGGTTACTTGAAATTAAACTTCAAAATGCTGAGCTATCATTTTTACCTTCATATCATTATATTATTCCTACCGTCTATATTATTTTTAATATTTCTTTTAAACTATACTATTACAATACAAACCTTTTAAATATTGACTTCAAACTGGTTTTGATGAGACAGAGTCTTAAAAAAATTAATTATGGGAATTTTCAGACACAACAAAAGTAGAATAGGGTATACATTTTTTGAGTGTGCATGAACTGTGAGAACTGCAGAGGTGTAAAAAACACTGGTTTCATCTTGAAAGAATGTCCAGTTTACTAAAAGAATTTGGGTTTCTCCATTAAGCATAATCCTCCTAATAAATCCTATAGGAGTGATAAGCATGGAGAACCTTTCAGCCCTGTGGCCTGTTAGAGAAGGCTCCATGGGGCAGATAGCATGCAACAAGAGTTTCAGTAAGTTTAGAAAGTGATGAAATGCTTACTTATAGTACCTCCCCCCACCAACCCATCTGTATTAGCCTTCTGTATTTGGTTATATTTGCAATACCTAACAATTTGTCATTGGCTGCAGTTCTCATGCATATCTTTCCATCTTCTAGATCTTTAACTATCAGTTCAAAGTAGGTGTAATATGACCACTCACACCTTTTCACCAAGCTGCTTTACCTCAAGAGCATGTTTTTGTAGCTTTGGGCCCGGCTTATAGTAGATCTCATCCGACTTGCGCTGCAGCCTCTTAGCCTGTTTTACACAAGACAGTGTATTAAGTGAGCGAGCCAGGCTCATCACCTGCAGGCTTCGCAGACGTGAAGCATCAGAAGCAGGGCTGCGCTGCAGATCTAGCAACACAATCGTATCAGTTTTCCCCACCGGCACAGAGAAACGAATTCACACAGGCTAAACCCAAAGAGACTTATGTAAAACAGAATGCCAGTCTGTTCATTTACAATATCAGTAATACATTTTCTATAACCAAAGTTTAAGTATATGCTCTCAAACACACACACACACACACACACACACACACACACACCCCACACACACACCGCTCACTAAGAAGGTTCTTGGTTAACGAGTCATCAAAGACGAAACTGTCCTAAGGGTCATTTCCTCTCTGGACAATTGAGAACGTTTAGCACTGCTTCTTCATTTCACACACAAGGAGACTGAGGCCTGGAGAGATTAAGTGGCTTGTTCAAAGTCACACGTCAAGGCAGTGGGAGTCCTGGGACAGTTACTGCCAAACATTATTTGAATTCTGGAGCCCTGTTTTTGACAGTAATTCTGATTTCTCCATAGAGAAAAAAAACACAAGTGGCAACGAACAGGGAAAAGAAGTGAAAGAGGCAGAAAGAGACAACAAAACACAGAAATGAAGGTGGAGCTTCCGTCACAATTAGAAAAGGAAGCGATGGAGAAAGTGCCAGCACCTGGAGAGACAGAAATCGAGCCACCTGCGCCTGTGACCGAAGCTCTCCTTCCGGCAGTGTCCCCACAAGGAGTTGCGCCCGAGAAACATGTTTCTGAAGTAGGTCAACAAAGTGTTACTCTTCAGGAAAATTCTTCTGAGTACCAAGCAACAGTGGTACAAAACCACTCTTCTGAAATATGCCAAGATAGGGCTGAATCTGAAGACCTCTCTCCTAAAATGTGCCAAGAAATAGCTATATTTCAAGACCAGCCTTTCAAAATGTTCCGTGATGTGGCTCAGCCTGAAGACATCTCTCCTAAAACATGCCAAGAAGCCATCGCAGCGAAAGTCCTTTCTTCTAAAACATCTGAAGATACAGCTGACCTTGAGGGATGCTCTCTTGAAACATACCAGAAAAGACCTGAGCCCGAGGAACCTGATTCTGAACCAGGTCAAGGAATAGTTGAGACTGAAAGCTTTGTTTCTAACACACAGCAAGAAATGGCTGAGCCTAAAGAGCTTTCTACAGAAATACACCAGGAAACAGTTGAACCTGAACACTTTTCTCGTAAAATATATGAAGAAATTGCCCCTTCTCATAAAACAGCCCAAGAAACATCTGTTCCTGAAAAATATCCCCCAGCAATGTACCAAGAAACACCTGGATCTGAAGAATATTCACTTGAAATATACCAAGAAACCCCAGGACCTGAAGATGGTGCACCTGAAATATACCAAGAAACAGCTGGACCTGAAGACCTCTCTACTAAGACAAATAAAGACAAAGATGTTCCTAAGGAATGCTTTTCCAAACTGTACCAGGCAATAGGTGGACCCCGAGACCAGGATCCTAAAGCACAGCAGGAAGATGCTAAGGATGTTTATACTTTTCCTCAAGGTATGGGTTTCTTACTGGGGTCAAGTTAGTGACACTGCCATTTCTTAACTGCTCCCTGTTCATAATCAGAGCACCAAATAGGTGTCTCTCCCTTGGAACACTAATTTATAGCCTTCTGTGACAATCCTGGGTTATTCCAGTTATCTCAATAGGTATCTTTGATGTCTTTGTCCAGTTTTAAGTGAAAAATGTTTATCATTCAACTGATATCTATTTGGTATATTTCCATGTAATTTAAAGAAAATAATTGAAACTATAAGTGTATATAGTGGGTACCTGTACATACTATGCATTTTGGGAAGCTTTAATAGGTGAAGAAAAATGAACCCTATGTACAGTCAATTATGTGCAAAATATTCTGGACAATTACATTTATATTAACATAAAATCTTGGTGAATAAAGTTTTTTTCCCTAGAAAATTAACATTTCCTGGCAAACTAAGAGCAAATAAATTCATGGTACAAGGTACTGAGAAAGATACAAAGACATAAAAATAGGATCCTGATACTAGGGAACTCGTTGTTATAGGAGTTAACAGGCTTACCTTTCTATTTCAATATTTGTCCCTGAAAAGCATAGTATTTTAAAAACAATGGGATCTTTATTCAATTTTACTTGTCTCAGGGACATAACTGAGAGCCATGGTTCTCCTTGTTCAGTACTGTTCTCAGTGTAGAAAATGGGCTGAGCCGAGCAGTCTGTCCCCAGCGAATCGTTTTCTGAAGAAATTCCTTTGGTAGCTTATTTTCTCTTTCTCCTAACATATGAGTGCAACAGGAACCTGGGCTTAAGTTGGGTTCCAAGCAATATTGGTTTTGAGGAAATACCTTTTAAAAATTACAGTAAAAGCAGACATATGAAACACTACCTGTATTGACGGGATCCCCTGCTGGAGTCGCGGCTCTAATCAACATAGCACCAGATTCTCAGGGTTTTGTTCTAAACCCAGTGAGGTTAAGACAGGCAATTAATTAATTATTTTATGCTTTTTGGCAATTAATGTTTATCTTGTTTTCTCTTTGTCTTGCCAAACAAGTAGAAATGTCTTCCTTTTTGCTGATTATAAAATTGCTATAATGATAGTTATAAATGTTCATTATAAAAAATTAAAGCAATATCTAAGTGACTATAAAGTGCCCTATGATACCACTTCCTATCTCTGATCCCCAATATTAAGTTTTCGTTTTAACAAATGAGATGGTACAGTACATTCTATTTTATAACCTGCTTTTTTTCACATGCCGTATATATTGCGGCCATCCGAATGACATCTTTGTAACAGTCGTCCAGTATTATGTTATATATACAGCAATTTATTCAACCAGTCCTTATAATGATGAACACCTAGGTTACTGCCAAGTTTTACTATTGTAAAAATGTTCAATGGACATCATGGGAAGTAATGGTTGTTTAACTGAAGTTTATATAGCACTTTCTATCTGCCAAACTCTCTATTAAACATTTTTTGTGAATTACTTTATTCAATGTTAGAAACCCGAGTGGGTGAATAATATGTCTGTATTTTATAGATAAGGAAACTAAGGCACTGGAAGCTTAAGTTGATCTGATTGCTTCCTTGGATAAATTCCTAGAAATTGAACTGCTGGGCCAAAGGGTACCAGCATTTAAAGTCTGGATACATTCAGTCAGACTAGCCCAAAAGTAGCAATTCACAGAATCCAAGAATTAATGTAAGTGCATAGTCCCCACGTCCTTGCCAACACTGCACGTGATGATGTTTTAAAAATCTGCACCTATCTGCTAGGTTTTTAAAGACCAACCAACCTAATTGTTTTAATTTCCACTTTTTTTGATGACCTATGATACCAGGCTTGCTTTTATGATTATTATGAATTTAAGTTTTTCCTTTTGAGAAGCACCTGTTTGAATACTTGCTCCATTTTATATTTTGGATATCTATCTTTTGATTAAAAATCTCTTTAAATAATAGTTATTAAATCTTTGCCTACATATAAGTTGAGTCACAAACATTTTTATTCTTGTTGTTTAACTTTGCTTATAGAGGTTTGGACATCTATATGACCAAAATTTTAAAGTTAGTTTTTAGTTACTCAAACTTGTCATCATTTTAGTTTTTAATGATTCAAACCTGTCAGTCTTTTTTCTTTATGGCTTCTAGTCTGTGATCTGCCTAGAAAGGCTTTTAAAATCTTAAGATTAAAGAAATATTCTATTGTTTCTACAATATTTATTATATCTTAATATTGAAATCTTTAATTCATCTGAGATTTGTTTCTGTGCAAAGTGTGAGGTAGTTTTTTTTTTCTCCAAATGGATAGCCAATTGTCCCAATACCGTTAATTGAATCTACTTTCACATTTTTTTTTTATTTTACAGAAATGAAGGAAAATCCCAAAGCAGAAGAACCAGAGATAATAGAAATTCCAGATGTGCTTCAAGAGAGTAACCCAGAAAATGACATCTATAGTTATGTTTTGTTTTAACAATGTTCAACCATCATAGTCATCCAACAAAATACACATCTTAGTACATCATATGTGTTATTTTCTCAAAATAAGGTAGAAATCTCTATAATATTCATTAATATTTTAACAATATCCCCCCACCTATAGATATATAGTCTATAGGCATATAGACTATATCTGAAAGAGAGAATTAGTGTTTTTTCTCAGGCTCTACCACATAGACAGTGGTAGTGTGTATGTGTGTGCACATGTGTGTGCACATATGTGTATGTATGTGTAATCTGGGGAGAGGACAGTTGTGGGAACAGACTTAATAGCTTTACTCCCCTTAAGAATTAATAAAAAAAAAGAATTAATCAAATGTTTGCTCTTGGGGGAAATTATCAACCCCTCCTTTTTTCCATTTTTAAGGCTGAACAATTAAAATTTGGGGAAGTATATACTTTTCTTGTAAACTTTGATCAATTATTAATGTAACAATAGTATCAACATTTTATGCAGGCTTCAGTTGGCTTTTAGTAATTTAATAATTTTAACAATTCTTATCATTCTAGGACTTCTTTAAAGATATTTTCGAGTGATGTTTGCACTTGCATATTGTGATTTTGATTTTCTATTTTTACTTTTAAAATATTGTAATTGTGCAAAATGTACATTAAATCATTAGTACATGTTTAACTGTGTGGACAGCATCATGGTAAGCATTGTGAGGGTCAGAAGATCTATAACACATAGTCCTTACCTACTAGGAATTTAATCTAGTCTCGTGGAGAAACAAAACAGAAAACAAAGAATTACAAAAGAAGAGAGTAATGCTAATGCTGTTTGGATAGAAGATACAACCAAGGGAATACTCACTTTTTTGCCAGAGTGACCTGAAAAAATTGCACAGTGGAGCCTTGAAAGTTGGAGAAGATTTGTAATATAGGTGAGGATAGCAGCATTATTGTATGTGACACAGAGAAAGGTGAATTCAAGATATGTTCCAGAACTGCATGCAATGTACTACAGTTAATGCAGGGCCCATGTGGAATAGCAGAATTAAAGTTTGGCAAGAATCCATCTAGCCCTACCTTGGGCTACCCTCCTCTCATTGTGGGTGCAACGGTTGTTCTTTAAAATTCACGAATCTTATGATATTAAATCTAATATGATGTGTGATAAGATCCAAAGCTTTAATTTATTTTCAGAAGGATCCTTCACTCAAATGAAAGATTAAGAATCATTATACTGGGACACCCCTGGTCGTTCAGTGGTTAAGAATCCCCCTTCCACTGTAGGCGATGCAGTTTGATCCCTGGTCAGGGAATTAAGATCCCATATGCCACGGGGCACCTAAGCCTGAACACCACAACAAAGATCCTCCAGGCTGCAACTAAGAAAAAAAAAAGAATCATTATACTGAGAAGTGTTTCTCAAAGTGTAGGCAGATACCTACTTTGAATCATTTAGGGTTTTTTTTTTTAAAGGAAGATTCCTAGATCCTACCTCTAGAGAAAAGGTTGTATCATAAACTACAAATAATCACATATAATGGTTATTTATATAATTATATATCCTCTAGACAGGATAACAAAAATCGCAAATCATATAATGAAAATGCTACATACTTAAGTTCCTGCTTTCCATAAGGAGAACGAACTTTTTCCTTTAAATCAAGTAGCAATCTACTTCACCAATGTCTCCAAGTCTGCTGTGCATTTCAGAACATGTCACACTTAGTATCGTATTTTTGGCGTGACTGTCATTGTGTAGATCTAAGGCCAAGAAGGCAAATACCTCTGTTGGTCCACAAAGCGACTATCACTTTTCGCAACACCCCCATCTAGTGGAAAATTGCAGCCATTACGGCCCCAGTTTTACGTCGTGCAAAGAGCCCAACAGTTCTCAACCTTTGTTTCATAGCTGTCCGGAACTGTTCCCTCCTGGAAACATAATAAGGGCATTCTTTTCCAAATTTCACGTGGAAAAAACCTATCAGAGGACATGTAGGGATATGAATTTTATCAGTTTTATAAAAAAAGTTTTTGTTTTAAAACCCACGATCCTCTCTTTAAATCTTTGACTCTTGATGGTTATTTTCTAGTAGTGGTCTATTAGTTCATGACACATGAACATGTTTAGGAACAGCTTTTCATGGTTGTTAAACTTTTAAATCTGTGGAGTTTTATGATCCTGAATAATTTGTTTTGCAGGCAGTATGTCTCTCTCCCTCCCCCCCGCCCAAGAAAAAAACAGGATAAAAAACTCAGAAGTAGAATTAAGTATACAGAGAAACTTTATACATACACAGGTGAGAGATAAGGTTGCAAGTAAGTAGGTAAGAGGCCTTGGTGGCTTAGAGGGTTAAGAATCTGCCTGCAATGCAGGAGGCCTGGGTTCAGTACCTGGGTGGGGAAGATGCCCTGGAGAAGGGAACGGCTACCCACTCCAGCGTTCTTGCCTGGAGAACTGGATGGACAGAGAGCCTGGCGGGCTACAGTCCCTGAGGCCACAGAGAGTCGGCCACACACACACACACACACGTGAGAGGCCGGGCTAGCGCTGCAGGGGCAACTGGTCATCGCAGGGGCTGAAAGCGGATTCTTGCAGGCCCTCAGCTTTTTAGAGCTTCCCCGAGACAGTCACTACAGTCCCAATGTATGTGGCCGTCGACTCACTTTCACTCTCGCTTCAGCTCTCGTGAGGTACGGAGCACAAGGAATGGTCCCCACTTCTCACCCCTGCCTACTCAGGTGTAGAGCTACACATCCGTTAGATTTGAAGCGAGGTTTATTTGGGCTCCTTTTCTGACAAAACATCCTTTTTCTTATGGAAAAATTGGGAGCGTACAGAGTATAAATGAGCATCTGTGTATTCCCACTACTCAAGAAGTACTAACATTTTCTAACATCCCGTCATCTCGCTATGGATAGCTGCACATACATATTCTTTTATTTAAAAATTAGCGTCATGCGTTGGATGTGTAGGTTGCTTATCATCTCGAGTATCTTTATACATAAATCTTCATCGACTTGTTCTCAGTGGAAAGGGCGGTAACTTGGACCCTAAAACTGAAGCGGGTCCGCGCGAGACAGCACAAGACGGATTCAGCAGCGGAATAAGGCCTCCAACTTCCAACCGCCACCTAGCGGCAGCCTGGACGGCCCCCTCCCGGCGCGTCACTCCCCTAGCGCCGCCGCCCCGCGCGTGCTCGATCTTGGCGCCATCCGCCGGCACCGCTACTGCGCAGGCGCCAGGTAGGGAAACCGGAAGCGGAAGGTTTGAGCGCGCTGGGTGCGCCCCGCTGTGACCCGTAGCCATGCGCGACTTGAAAGAGTCCAGGCCGCGCCCCACAGCGACCCCGTGCGGGTGTGTGAAGCCGGCCCTGGAGACAGGTAACTTCTAAGAGGCTGCTGGTTCTGCGCGCGTTAAGACCTCCCGGAGCGGGGACCCGCTTTTACTGCGGAGGGGGGACGCGCCATGCGAGACCTTGAATGGACAAGGGTTGCTTTTCCTTTTTATTGCGGAGTTACGGATCATGTGCTCAGGCGACCACGTGACGTGTCCGAGGCGAGCGGGATGATGTCATCTCTCTTGATCTTTGGTGGCTAAGGCTGGCAAGCTCTTTGCCCAACAGCCACGTGCACTAAGAACTGCTGTATACTGTGACCCCAGGCACTCCCTTTATTGCTTAAAACTAGTTCGTTTCATGTATTGTGTTGTTTTCAATTGAAAGCGTCTTCTATGCAACCGGTTTCCTTATCTTTTATTATTCTTTGCCTTGTATTTAACACTCCAGTCAATCAAACTGGTTCGTTCTCTTCTTATGCTAGAAAATTTGTCATATCACTTTGTGCACCTTATTTCCTCTATTTGAAATACTCCATAGTCCTGGCCAAGGTCACATACATAGTTATGGTAGCATAGAATTTGAATTATAGTTATAGTAAGTCTTCTAAAAAGGAATTTTTCCGTTCACCCATGTTCTTTCCAGTTTATTATCTAAAAGGGCATAACAATGCATATGTATTGATGAGGATATTTGTATGTACTTATGAATGTTTTAAGGATCTTGTTTTATAGTTGCATAACATCTGGTGCGCTGTGGTCCATGGGGTTGCAAAGAGTCAGACATGACTGAGTGACTGAACTGAACTGAACACCTGGTAGAGGTTTCCCTGGTGGCTCAGCGGTAAAGAATACACCTGCTGAGGCAGGAGACGCAGATTGGATCCCTGGGTCAGGAAGATCCCCTGGAGTAGGAAATGGCAACCCACTCCAGCATTCTTGCCTGGAAAATTCCATGGACAGAGAAGCCTAGCCAGCTGTAGTTTAGGGTGTCACAAAGTTGGACACGACTGAGCATACACGTGTGCACAAAACATTTGGTAGATTTTAAAACTATGAAGTCATTGCGTTAAAGAAAACACGTCTTCCTACATCTTTTCTTGACATCTTTTGTTTGTTTGTTTTTGCCTGCTTGGAAAAGAAAAATAATGATGGTGGGTTTTAATACATTGTGTTAACACTATTATGTAGAAAATTGTGCCTTCTCTTTTAAAAATTTTTATATTTTATTAAATTTGTTTATTGAAATATAGTAGATATATAATGTATTAGTTTCAGGCGTACAGCAAACTGATTCAGTTATATGTATGTGTGTACTCTTTTCATACATTCTCTTCCATTATAGGTTATTATAAGATATAGAGTATAGTTCTCCATACTGTACAGTAGGTCATTTTTGGCTGTTTTATGTAGAATAGTGTGTATATGTTAAGCCCAAACTCCTAATTTATCCTCCTCTTCCCCTTTTGGTAACCGTAAATTTGTTTTCTATGTCTTTGAGTCTATTTGTTTTGTAAATAAGTTCATTTCTATCATTTTTTTAGATTCCACCTATAAGCAATATCATGTGTTTGGCCTTCTCACTTAGCATGAAGTCTGGTTTGCTTAGCATGATCATCTCTAGGTCTGTCTGTGCTGTGCTGTGCTTAGTCACTCAGTCAATCCGACTCTTTGGCCATCCCATGGAC